TAGATAAATAGTTGAAAATGTTTACAAAATGTACAATATATATTTGCATTTAAAAAGATAGTACTCGAATTTTATGTTTTTTTGCGTGATTTCAGATGAGTTGTGTTAATACAGTATGCCAATTTAAAAAAATAAAAATAAAAAAAAAAGCTAAATTCAGACACATGAGGTTGAGCTGAGAAGAATGACACCAAGCAAGACAAGTGGAAAAATAAACAATTTAAAGGTGAAATACACATGTTAAATCAAAAGCAGTTAAAATGGCCAGTTATATGTTGGACCTCAGAGGGTGAACACAAGAAATCATGAAAAATTAGGTTTAAATCTTTGTTCATGACAATGCAGATTTCTGACATTTTGTGTAAATTCAAGGTTCAACATTCGTCAGATGCATATACAAGTATAACACAGTGAAATGTAAACCTGACACGCTCCTTGACTTGTGCAAAAGGGGGGAGAGGGGGAGAGAGGAAGAACATTATAAATAAATATATATATACACATTTGGTGAATGTGCAGTAGTAGCATGTATGCAGCAAGCTTCTCGCAGTGGGGATGATCTCCTCCGCTAGCATATTGACAAAACATACTGCTTCTTCCGTAAACTCGTTGATGTCGACTGCACATGCTCAGTCTACATCGTTGAGTGCGTCCTGTAGCGTAGCTTCTGATTGGGCAGACCAACGTTTCACCTCCCTCGTGGTTACTTCTTCCCTCCATATGTTTTGTTTATACTGGGGAATGAGGAAGATGGCGTTGTGGTCAGTCTTCCCGAAAGCCGGGTGTGAGACAGCTTTGTAGCCCTACTTGTACTGCGTGTAGCAGTGATCCAAAATCCGATCCCCCCTCGTCGGACACCAGACATGCTGGTAGAAATTCCGCATGACTTGTCCGAGGTTCTCTTTATTAAAGTCTCCTGCTACAATGAGGGCTGCGCCCGGGTCCTTGTTTTGAAGCGAACTCAGCACATCATGTAGTTCGGACAAAGCCATACCTGTGTCCGCTTGGGGTGGGATGTAGACCACCATGGCAATGACCGAGGTGAACTCACGGGGCAGATAGAAAGGGCGGCACTTAATGCTCAGGAACTCCAGATGTGGCGAGCAGCCGCTGCAAAGAGTAGAAATGCACCTGGCATCACACCACTTTCTGTTTACCACACTCCTCCACCTTTGGTTTTGTTTGACTCTGCCGTTCTGTCCGCGCGGAGCACAAAGAATGAGTCCGACGGAGTTACGGCCTGGTCCGGCACGGTGGGGTCAGCCATGTCTCCGTGAAGCGCACAGTGTCGCTGTCCCTCATGTCACGTTGGAAGGTGACTCTTGCTCTTAGGTCATCGAGCTTGTTCTCCAAAGCAGTCAGGAAGGAAAAATCGCCCCATGTTGTTAAGCTTTCTGGATTTTATATTTATTGGGCTACAGATTTATTCATTATACGGACTACACGGTACATAAACCCAAAATTTCACGTGTTTATCTAAACTGTATAGTTACGTGGACTGCAGAAAATAATTAAGTTGTAGACTATATTTATATGAATAGCATGTATATTGAATCATTTTAACCATATGTAACCCATCCCTTTGTTTTTGAAAAAAAAGACTTTGATTTTGTCGCACATTTGATTTCTTTCCCCCCCATAAGAAAATTTCTCTAGATCCGCCCCTGGTCAGGGATAAAAGAAAATAGGTCCTGTTGATATTTGGGCTTCGTTCCGCCTGTTCCAATAAGAAGTAATCCCTCACTTGAGAATGCACTCAAACTTTAACATTTCCGCAGCAATTTGCTGAAACAACCTCTGAACCAACAACAAGGATGTAAGACTTCCTAAAACTATAACTTCTTTTTCTAGGAGGTTCCACTTTATGGTAATGTAACGACATCCAACTGTAACTTTGTCACCAAATTAAAACATCACTACTTGACTAGCTGGTTGTAAAGAAAGCGGAGTAACCTGGATCCTGACCAGTGCGCGCTCCCGACGCTGGGGAACGCTCCGTCGGTGATAAATGGCACAACGCTCAACCAGAGCAGCAGCCATGTTTCAGCGCTACAACCAGACGTGAAACACGACCTTCTTGTGACTCTGCGTGTCTGTGTTTTACTTACCCCGACATGCAGAGGCTCGAAAAACATACTAGCAGCTCCTTTGTGCCTGATCCCACACGTCAGCAAACATGAAGACGGTGAAAGCTGCTGATAAGCTTCGTTTTTGTCGACGTCACGATTAAAAACAGGCTCCAATACCCAAAGTTAAGCCCACGTCGATTTCGAGTAAACGGCATCCTTGTTCAAAGCTTCTAGCAAAGCTGTTTTCCACCGTCCACGAACGATAACACAAACGTTGATAACACAAACACCCTCTCTTCTGACGAAGAGAAAACGTGTAGCGAGCTCACAAAGACTGCTGCGGAAGCGCGTTCCCTGTGTGCCTGCAGAGCGAACCGATGACCGATAGGGGCAGTGTACAGTATGGTACATACTACAGCGCACCTCGGTTGGCACGGAGTCGTGGGCCTGATGTATGGAGCTCATTGCATCATTTAGTCAGTCAAATATGCAGCTGTTCAAAGGTGTTTGCAAAAATATTATTTTTCTTAAGTCCTTTCAAATTGTGTTTTTGTTTGATTTCTAACACTGGGAGCTAAACACAAGTTGTTCTGTTTGCACTGAGATATGTTTAGACTTTGTTCTTTATCAAGAATTTATCGCTTTGTTGTTCGTCTGAATTCTGTGATTCCTTAACAGATTTTAACAGGTCTATGGTCACGTTTGTGTGATTCAACCAGCATAAACCAGAGAGCAGTTGTGTCTGTTCCCCACTCTGATTGGCTGATGTTGAAGTGACCGCTTCATCTCTGCTCTGTTGTTACAGATCACTCTGGACAGACCATTATTCTGCACTGTCGAGCTCCAAACAACAACTTCACATTTGTACAGTGGAGCAGAGATGATCTGGAGCCAGAACATGTTGCTGTTTACAAGGGTGGACAGTTCCTTCCAGATCACCAGCATCCATCTTTTAAGAACCGGGTGGATCTGCAGGACAGACAGATGAAGGATGGAGACGTGTCTTTGATTCTGAATAATGCAACGAGTGCTGATAGTGGAAAATACGAATGTCGTGTGTTCAACAGAGGAACTGTGCGCAGGAAGAGAGCCCTGTCAAAGATTCCTCCCATCAGCATCATCTACCTGAGTGTTGTTGATCCTCCAGGTGAGTGAGTAGAGTTGAGTGTGTGTGTGATCAGAGGTGAAGCTGCTTCCTGCTTGTTGATGTTTGTTTCTAAAGATGTTGTTGATGAGACTTTGTAGAAAGCAGCTGGTCTGAGTGATGTGATCAGAGTGCAGTAGATAATGTCTGACAGCAGTTTGAAGAGGAAATGGATTCTGTTCTGTTCTTCACTCATCACCTACCTGACAGCTGACACCTCACACCTGTTTCTCACCTGCAGGTCAGCCAGGAGGACACACAGAGGATGGAGGGAAGGAGGACGGAGGGAAGGAGGATGGAGGGAAGGAGGATGGAGGGAAGGAGGCAGGAGGGAATGAGTTGTCTTGGGAGTTGTTAGTGAGGGTGGCAAGAGGGATGGAGTTGTTGGCAAGGGTGGCTATAAGGATGGAGTTGTTAGCGGTGGAGACTAGATGGATGGAGTGGTTGGCGAGGGTGGCTAGAGGGATTGAGTGGTTGGCGGGGGTGGCTAGAGGGATGGGGTGGTTGTCGTGGGTGGCTAGAGGGATAGAGCTTTTGGCGGTGTTGGCTAGAGGGATGGATTGGTTGGCGAGGGTGGCTATAAGGATGGAGTTGTTGGCAATGGAGACTAGATGGATGGAGTGGTTGGCGAGGGTGGCTAGAGAGATGGAGTTGTTGGCGGAAGTGGCTAGAGGGATCGAGTGGTTCAATTCAATTCAATTCAATTCAATTTTATTTATATAGCGCCAAATCACAACAAAAGTCGCCTCAAGGCAATTCATTATTGTACAGTAGATCGTACAATAATGAATACAGAGAAAAAAAAGAGAGTTGGGGACGGTGGTGGCTAAAGTGATGGAGTTGCTTTGGGAGTTGGTGGAGGTGGTGTTTAACCTTTTGGAGTTGGTGTTTTGATCTACAGAAAGCTTAAACCACAGAAGCAGGGTTCATACCAGCTTCCATTAGAACTTGAGTCTGTTTTAAATGTTTCAGTTTTTTTCCAGCTGATCTGAGCTTTAATCATGAAACCTAAACGCCTATTAATTAATTTTAAGTTGTTTACAAATTGTCCAAAGAAGAAGTTGTACCTTTAGCTCCTCATTGTCTGTCCAGTCTGTGCTGAACTGCGCCCTCCGCTTAGCCTTGTCAGGGTCACGGGAGGCGCTGGAGCCTATCCCAGCTGTCTTAGGGCAAGAGACTGGGCACACTCTGGACAGGTCACCAGTCTGTTGCGGGTCTAACACAGAGACAGAAAACCACTCGCACTAAAACCAATTAACCTAACTCTGTGGAAAGAAGCCCGAGGACTCGGGAGAACCTGCAAACTCCACACAGAAAGACCCCGACCTGATGGTGTCATCAGGGCCTTCCTGCTATGAGACAACAGTGTTACCCATCATGCTCCACACGTCTTAACTCTGTTACAGCACACTGTTTTTAATATATTTATTTCGTAAGATTTTAAGAGGGATGATTATTTATTTTGTTTGATTATTTATTTTGTAAAAGTGAATTTTTCATCAGAATCTTTCTGAATTGTTGACTCGTTTCAGTTTGTAGGAGTTTGTGGTTCTAATGTTTCTACTGTAAAGATAAAGTGCCTTTTGATATGGCTGTTGTTGTTTCCTGAATAAAACTGAAGCTGGAATCAAAGTGATCCATGTTTTGTTCTTCATGTTTGTTTTTGTTTTTCTTGCAGTTTTCAGACAATTTTACTACAACTATTATTTTACCAATAAATATTAAGAACACATAATGACTCCCATAAACTGTGACAGAGTTTATAAACACAACAGCTGCTATAAATGTTGTAAAACACGATTATGTTTTAATTGGTTAACCTGGTCCTTTATGACCACAGAGAGAAAGAACAAAGGATTTACCAAGTGCACTGAAACGTAAACACTGAAACCTCATCCAGATGTTTCACACATCACATAAAACTAATTTGGATGTTTTCTTTTCCACTTAAGTGACAAAAACATACTTTAATGCATGTTTGCTCTGAACGGCTCCCAGATCTACAGGATGTTAATTCTCCTGAGTTAACATCCTGTAGATTTGGGACCAGTTCCCTTTTTCCATGGATGCAGTGCTGGTGACCAAACTAGAACTGGTTCTGTGTTCCCATCAGGAAAAGTTGGTTCTGCTGAGAACAGGAAACTGAGGCTGTGATTCACACAGGCTCACTAAAGTCTGACAACAGCAGACTGGAGAAACATTTCCAGGTCTGATGAGTTCAGATTTGTGCTGTGATGGTCACATGGATCCATCCTGCCTCGTATCAGACCATTGATTAAACACCACAGCGTGTTGCTGCTGACTGCATCCATCCCTTTATGAACACACTGTAACCATCCTCTGATTGCACTCCATGTCACAAAGCTCAAATCATCTCCAACAGGTTTCTTGACCATGACGATGAGTTCACTACTCAGGTCACCTCCACGTCTGACATATTTGGTGGCCTGAAACAGGCAGAGTCCATAATTACAGAGAATCCAACGATGACTTTCATACCAGCTTTGATGGAAGCTGCGTCTCCTGTCCCCCATTAATGTGACTGGAAATGTCCTCAAACTGGGCAGCACTGGTGGATCATCTTTGTACGTCTGATAAGAGATGAATGCAGAGCAAACATGAGGCTGTAACTGAGGACAATAACTGATCAAATT